TCTGCAGATCTTTCGTTGCCATAAGAGTATGATAGTGTCAAGAGTGGTTCAGACCAAGGTGAGCGATACGACCATGTGCTGATCCGGACTGGTCCTGCTGCTGATCCCCTGATCTTCGCGGATGCTGTCCAACGAAGCAGTGCGTACAAGATTGCTGGAATAGTGACCGTGATTGATGCTACTGGGTGCCTTTGCCCAGAAGTTTGCAGGCGGAAGGTTGCACCACAGCAATGCTCCCTCGATGGTTTCCTCTGTCTGTTGCTGGCTTGGCCCGAGGCCTTGCTTCGAAGATCAGCTTCTGTCAGGGGCTTCACTTGACCAGTTAAGTGCTGCTGATGTCCTCCTGGTTCGATCGAAGGTTGGGGCTGCATTGTGCATTGTCTACCAACTCTTTCCACCTCCGCCTGCTCCCTCAGCGCACAGGATCAAGATGCCAGCCAGTGCTTGGCTGCCCTGAAGCTGAAGGACCTTTGCGTGCGTGCTCCGGAAGCTCCAGCGGAAGGAATGCAAAGACTGAGCCCCGAAAGGATGCGCCCATTCACATGTGGAAGAATCCACTGAGCGAAGCAGACATTGGATTGTTGACCTGCCGTTCCCCTCACAGAGAATATGTGTGCACCTCCGGCTATTATCGCCATAATTTGACAGCGCAAACTGTAGTGCATTCAGCACGATCACCATGTGGATGGGATGCCGGTGCGTCGGCGATTAGCCAAGCTGTGCCCACCGCATGCCATGCCGAGGCAAGCCGTCAAGCCTGGTCCCGAATCTCATGGCTAGCCACGAAACTACATTGCGAGCCGTCCAGATCGTGGAAAATGGTGCTGTTTCGAACGTGGACGTTTGCAAGGACTTCAGACATGTTCAGTTCACCCGTGACATGTCAGCATACATTCCCGGCCGCAAGTGCTGCACAGGCTTGGATGATGAACTTGATGAACCAGGGCCTCACGGCTTTCAAGAGCAGGGTGAACTTCTTGCTGTCGGTGTTTCGAAAGCAAGGGCTGCATGGGACACCAAGGCTTCTGCATTCGCTTGAAGGCAGTGTTGCCTGTGGCAACTCCTTCGGGGAGCCAGTCGTTGTTGGTCAATGCAGTCCGGGGCAAACCAGCAGAATTTCAGCTTGCAGCTCGGACGGGATTTCCAGTCAGGGTTGGCTTCGTTCGTCCACCCCAAGTACATTGGCAGATGTCTATCATCATTGCGAAATGACGAAGCAATATGATGCTTGCGGCATCTTTTCATTAGCGTCTTTGTTTGTTATCGTTGCTGTGGACGACTGCTCCTGGCAAGCTCGACGTGGGCTAGCGGCAAAAACACAACTGGCTTGTCTTCACAACCCCACTGCAAAGGTAGCCCACTAGCCCACATGCTGAGATGGGCTCGGGGCCTTTCTGGAGCAAATTAGGACAGCAAGGTTTTAAGAAACGGCATTTCCGGGCTGCATGAAGCTTGAAGCTGAGCAGCTGCCTTAAAATTAATAGCATCTTCACTTCTACTGCTCATGCTTGCAGTAGGATCATCATAAGCTAGCCACCAGCTAACCTTGCTCGTTCCAGTATTGCTGCTTGTCTTCTGAGCTGGAGTGGCTGCAGCACTGCTTTGCTCAGTTGTTCTGAGGTTGCAGAGGCACCACCCCAAATCTACATGGGTGACCTGCCAGTCCTGGTGGGTATGCGTGACATAGATGCTGACGAGCCGATGTGTCGCATCTTTATCCTGCTGCTGGTTCGCACAAGTCTTCTGGGTCTCAATTTCCAGTCTGAAGGCGTGTAAACTACTTTTGCCGCGGCTAGCTGTCGGAGCTTTGCAGCTCAAGCCAATTCCAGGTTTTCAAACCGAGTCTTGCATTTATGCGCTTCGGCTTTCCGGTTGCTGGCCATCTCATGTCTTGGTTCTTGTGTAAGATCAGGTACATCCTTGACCCCCGGTCATATCAGAATCTATCAGACCTATGATTCCACCTCCAACCCCAGCTTCGGCACAAAGAGAGACGGAAAGCACTGACTGGCTCCATCTCGGAGCTTCAGTCGAAGGACGCAAGATGGCTTCTGTTTGGGACAAGGGTTGGTTTATCTTACTCTCCAATTGACGAGGTTGGGCCCGCCGTCGGTGAAGGGCTTGGGTGATATGCCTGAGCTTCTGGCTGCCATGCCTTCCAGCGTGGACTTGTCCGAGACATTCCTAACAGACATTTTAGGTCGCTGTTACTGAAATGCGACGCACCGCTGCGGCGAGACTTACTTGCTTCAGCTTCTTCGAAGTTGTTGTACAGGGAGATATGGAACGTGCAGGGTATTCTTGCCCGCATGCATTCTTCCTTGACGCACATTTTCGCTCCGAAGGAGTGCATCGCGCTTTTCCTGGCACTGCGCTTGAATGTGCTTTGCCAAACCAGAGACACACGAGTGCTGGGCAAAACTATAGAGGGGGCGCCCAAGAAGAGCCGTCTAACTTCGTCGGACATGCTCCGCGATCGCTTGAACAAGGAGTTCGAGCAGATCTACAACCTGGCTTTGACTCTAACGGTGGAGAATGATCATGCTACCGTTGTCCGTGCTGGCACCCCGGAGGACTGAGAGGTCATGCACAGAAAACAGAGAGTCATGCCAAAGCCAACTTCTGCACTTGTGAGGTCAAGAATGGCTTCCACTCGCCCTCAGCCGGTGGATATTGCGATCTCAAGCCACACCCTCGGCCTCAGCACACATACGCGTGCGCAGATGCTCATGTGCATGTGCACGTACGCGGGCATCCCCCCTCCCCACACACACATGCATGAATAGAATACGCACGTGGTGCAGTAAAAATCCCCACGTGACAGTGCATGAACATGTGTGGGTTAGGGCTTGTACGGGCATTGTTGTGTTTGTCGAGTGCATCTTGCGAGACGATCATTTCCGTAGGCAACAGTTGCGCTTGCCATTCCGGGAGCTGATGTGTACACCATGTGCCCAGAGCCTCTCCTGTTGAAAGAGCCCTGGAAGCCCCAAAAGAGCGAAGCAGGCTCTTCCTGCTCATCGCTCACGACAAACCGGAGGACGGCGGAACCGATGGGTCCAAGGCCTTCCGCAAGGGCAATGTAATCGTCAGATGCTTGAGCTGGCTTCAGCTGGCTTCGATTTTGGACCGATGTTGACACCCCCGTCCCCCGTTGCAACGCAGAAGAGCCAGCCTATGCCAGGTGTGCCACATCTGCGAGCTCCAAGTCCACCTGAAGCAGTTCTTGGCGTGCAAGAAATTTACTCACCTGCCGTACGTCCCTAGCCTGGATTGGGAGATCTCCTAGGTGAGGCTACTTTCAAACTACTGCCGTGCGGAAACGGTGTAAGCACAGCGCCCAGCCAGATTCAGGTCATCGACCGCGGCGACTTCGATCAGACATGAATCTCCCGACAGACGTTCAGCCTCTACCAGAGAGGACAAAGTATTCTTGTTGGAGGTTGTGAAGGCAAAGACAGCGGCACAATGCCGGATGTTTTAAGTGATTGCGCGAGACCACGCGAAGCGCCTTCTCGCAAAGCTTTCTAGGTCTGTTACATATAGCTTAGTGGCTTAGCGCAGTGTTGGACAGCTCAAAGACTGAGCACCCACTGTGAAATCAAGCCCTTCCGTCGAGACAAGAGACGAATAGAGACGAGATGGCAAGTATGGCCGAACAGGGACCGCACAGCGAGGGCTCTAAGGAAACAACTTGGCTCGACCAACCGCAGCAAAGTCCAAGAGTTTTGTGGTCTCCGCCTCAAGCGCGACGTATGTGAAAGGATTGCATCCGGAGTGTCACCAAAACGGAGTGCAGTAACTGGACGTGCTGTTCTTCATGCGACCTGCGCACCTTCTTAGTAACGTCGTTTCGCTGCGAAGCTACCAGACTCTGGATTGATCCCCGTTTGGCTGTTCGTCGCAGCTGTGCAGATCTTCTCAAACTCTTGCAGGCTGCCATGCTGCCAATGAGTGCATGTGGAAGCGCGGATTGCACGCGCTTCCAGAGTCGCTTTGTTCGACCTCGCCGGGTCCCCGCTAGACTCCCTCTGGCAAGCGGCCAAGGGCCGCTTGCAGTAACCAAGCAGGCAGAGTCCAAAGCGAAGTGGCATTCGACGTGGACCAGCACGTGCTTTAGGTCGGCGATTGGAGCAGCCGGCGCCGGTTGCTCTGCTATATCTCGACACTCCCGTGGCCATACAGACTCTGGCGACATTCCTGGAGGCTCCACCCATAGGCAAGAAAGCCAAAGCTCTCCCTTCACAAGTCGAGTGCCTGTTGCGCGAGACGGGCTTTCGGATGTAGCACGATGTGCGATCGACAGCACAGTCCTAACCAAAGTCGAGACCCAGGTTTTGCGTCCACTCCCGCCAAAGGTGGAGAACCGCATTGCCGAGTTCGCCAACGGGCCTTTTGCAAACCCAGCTGCGCTAGAGAATGAAGCATTCTACCTGCCAGCAGTGCACTGCGAAACTGGTGATAGGTCTGTGTATGACCGGCTGATGTCTGAACTGGACTTCAAAGACTGCTGGCTAGATACCGGCATGAAGTTTTCTAGACAGATCTGCATTGGGGACGAGGAGCTTCTTGCAAGAGCCCCCACTTATAGAGCAATCGTAGAAAGGGTCACTCAGATTTTTGGAGTTAGGGCTGTGCGCACATTGGTTAATTTGTATCGGGATGGCACAGACTGGTGCAATCTACACTCCGATCAATATCACCAGGGTGGTTATCCAATTGACCTAACAGTAGGGTCCACCTTTGGAGACCCTCGGCGGCTCATCTGGGTGGAGAAGAAGAACCCACGTCACAAGATTGAAATGCCTCAGTTGAACGGTGATGTCTTTGCCTTCTCTGATGCGATCAACACCACATGGAGGCACATGATTCCACAAGAAGGCCCGGAATGCGGTCCTCGAATCTCTGTGATTGTGTGGTGCAACAGGGAGAAGGATGGTGGCCACTGGATGGGATCTTTGGGTGCTTTCCCGCACATGCTCCACCAGAACCCCAAGAGCAACGGAAGGGATTACGAGGCTCGCCCAGGACACTTTCCGAGGCGTGACAAGGGAAAGGGTGAAGGCAAGGGCCTTGGCAAAGGCAGGAGTAAAGGTGCTGGAAAGGGCCAGCCGCAGCGATCAGCCAGCGCTGAGACCTTTGAGCCTGTCTTGCCACCACTTCCTGATGCTGCACTGGAGGAGGCGGTGCAGAGTGCGCAGAAAGCCCTGACCCTGCAAGGCGCACAGCAAGTCTATGCAATCTTAAGGGGCATCAAGCTTCTTGAGAACCGTACGTGGGCAATCCCACCTGGCTGGTACGCACTTCACGCCGGCGCCCAGTTGATCAACGAAGAGCGAAGGCAGCGCACCCTCGAAGCTTGGCCTGAGGCCCCGCGGGAAGAAGACTTGCCCCACCGAGCGATTGCTGGCCTTTTCTTTGTGCAGGAGAACAGAGCGCCCGAGGATTGCAAGCCCAACTACATCTGGGCTCGCGGCCCCGTTTGCAACGTGATCTCCAAGGCCATTGAGTTCGAGCGGCCGATCCCCTGTCGCGGCGACCGTGGACTCTGGGACCTGGGTAATCTCAAGCACCGCATCCGCAGAGAGCTCCTCAGGTCTGGATCGCAGGTCCAAGTCAAGCGCTTTGACTTGACGCCAGCACTGGGGGCGTAACACCGCCATCATTCGCCCGGTAGGAGGCCATGTTTCAGCAGCTTGCTCCTTTGAGTTTCGGAAGGCTTGGCAAGGAGCAGATGCCTGCATTTGCAGTCCAAACCCACGGCGATCCGTGCCAAAACTTACTGAGCACCGTCTGCAATCATAATTTTGCTAGGTGTATTGGAGACGCATCCACACCCAGGCCCGTCGTCATCCGAGCTTCGGTAAGCGCAACATCTCGGCAGGGAGCCTAGGAGCTCCGCAACCCACGACGATCAGATTAGACTCAATGAGCTCAGGCCTAACCTTTGGCTTCCATAATTATGGTGCTTTGGCATGGCTGTTTGGCGAGTCTGTATGCAGATCTACACATACATATTGATCCATATTTATACACAGATAAGAAACTTTAGTTTAAGATGCTTTAAGTGTATTTATGCTTACATGTTCGTAATTCGGACAAGTTTTCAACGAGTGACATTGATGGATGTTGTAATTGGAGATGTCACTGTCGAGTCACCGGAGTCTTCTGATTGCTGTGCTATGTACAAATTCTGTGGGGCCTCTACGACCTAGAGTTCTGCCGGGCCCGCCCAAGGCCCGCAAAGTCGTCTACCTGCTCGAGAAGAAAGCAGAGGGTCCCTGGGATCAGAATGCTTCATGCGCCAGCGCAGGGCTTCAGTAGATCGTTCAGAAGACAGGTTCGGACCTTAAGGGGTTGCCGAGGGGAGTTGTTCGCACGACGCTTTGTTCGGATGTCGTTGAAGCCTTCTGCGCACGCAGAGAAGCTCAGGCAACGCTGGCTCCAGGTCAGTGGGCTCAGTGGGCGGCCTTAGTTCACGGTTTACAATACTGCGAAGCTCGTCTCTCAGAAGATTTCATGCGCACCCACACTGAGGCTCTGGTGTGGGTCGCAGGCCCGCCTGGTTGATTTGGAGAGTCGTATTGTGAACAGGAACGGCCACTACGAATGCAAGAGGAAGGCAAACACTAGCACAAGCTTCTTAGCTGCGGACTTTGAGGTGCTACTGCTGTCCTGGGCAGCATTGCGGTGGCATCCCCGGATAAGCAGATGCACATGATTCCGGCTATGGTTCGGTGGGCTTTTGTGTGCTCTTGCACCGTATTGTAACCGCTGCTGGACTCCGGAATCAATGAACAAACGCATGTTTGCCACTGAGTATCGAAGCAGAAGGCTGCCCTTGCTGCAGTTTTCAGCTCGACATCGTCATGACTTTGGACATGGCATCAAACACAGTCAGTAAGTTGAATCCCTGGACATGGTTGGCTCAGCTCGGAGGCAAGAGTACATCGGACATCTGACAACCGAGAGGCTTTGAGTATCTCGTGTTAGACAGGGGGGCATGGCCTTCCTGGCCGCAGCATGCTGCAACAATGGGCCGAATGCCGTGCTAAATCCTAGTCCAGGCTCGCCGTACTGTACATGTCCAGGATGCAGCGCCTGTTGAGTGGCGGCCTGCACGCTCTGCAGAAGCTGCGGGCAGCAGGTTGCGAATGGGTCAAGTGACCAACTCTGCACCAACACACTTCGCGGCTTGTTGCCAGTTGCTACAACTCCAGATCCAGTCGAAAATCAGTCCAGATCGGATGTGTCACGCCAGGTGCAAAGCAATGGATCGTGCAGGCATGCAAGTGGAATGCCTGCAACAAAACATCGCGGACTTGCAACTAAAGTGGCGCGGCTGGCAAGTTAGTGTATGTGGTAGATGCCTTTCAAAAACCGCAAGATTCCGCAAGCCTTCAAGCTTCTCTTGACGAAGTCCGAGCCGTGTGCTGAAGCTTCGATGAGAAGGGAGTCGAGGGCGATCGAAAGCTTCTTGTCGTGCGGTTTGCCCTACTTCAGAACCCGCTCGGGACCCCGGGACCGCTCTGCAGCACTGCTGTGGCATGTGCCAGGTAGCCCTGCTCACCCTCTTGCCAATACGATGCTTGTCGCCTGTGTAGCCCCTGATAGCCCTGTGCACGAGGCTCCTGGTGAAGGAGGTCGTACATGCACAGGCAGGCATGGGTTCTTTGTCTTGCATTTATCCGTGCTTCTTAACTTGTTTTCTTCCTTCAGGTTTTGGCTGCAGCCTTGAAATGCTGTTCGCTCCGCAGCCAAACTTCGCCTTCTAGGCCTGGTTAGCTTGTCTTCCGGTCCCTGTCACAGCCCTGTCATGACACAGAAGTATGGCCCAGGCTAGCAGTCCAAGTGTCGCATTGCATGCAAGGCCAGCCTCTCCGCTGCTCGGGATCACCCAGCCGGCAGAATCCACAGCTCCTCGACAGAAAAGGTAACGTGAGACTTATATATGAATCATATGAAGTGCGGCACTCAGTCATGCAGCAGCCGAGAAGAATGATGAACCTTTCCAACGGGGTTTGCCTGCGCGTAGCGGACGAAGCTCCCAGCAGGTTCGGCCCGGCTCCCTCCTCGAAAGCAGAGACCGGGATGCAGTGGGGCATGACAACTATAAACCCTTCGATTTGGACTCTGAGTCTACCAGGTCCTTGGTTACCAGGTTGCTGGGACAGGTGGGGTGGGAAGGGCATCGGTTCGCTTGGAAGCGAGGAGAAGTTAAAAGACGATATCAATTCGATTCAGCTGAGTTACGCCCGCACATTCGCATGGGGTCACCACGCACTGTTCTTCCTGTCTGCTAGGCGCTGTAGCCTTCTTCCTCATGCTGGCTTTGCCCCTTGTTAGTCTGAGTTTTGTCAGGTCCAGCAAGTTCAATCTTCCAGGGCAGGGCAACAAGAGACGGGCTTTAGTGTCGTGCGGCTGTCACGCCGGTTCGTTTAGAAGAAAATGGCCAGCCGGTAATCGATCAGGACCACAAAAAAGCGTGTGATCGAAGACTCGCTGCCTGAGTTCAATCGTAGGCAAGAAATGCAAACAGAGCTTGCGAGCATCAGTGTCCGCTCCCCGTTTCGTGAGTCTCTGAAGCCTCGATCAGGCATTGAATTAGATAGCATCGTTGACGATTCCAGCTACTGACTCCGTACCACCATGCCTTCATTTGCGTCAAGCACCCCGGTAAAGGGCCTCGGGGTCAAGTTTGAGCTGGCATGTCAATGTGGCGATTATGGATTGGCATGCGCTTGGCATGAGGACTTCTTTTGGAGGTCAATATGCCAAACCTCAGTGATATTCTTGCTTGTTGCAACACTCGCAGAGGTCGCCTGTTCAGTGCTTGGCGACCGAATAGCCCGGAGCTGTGGCCAACACCGTGCAAGTTGTCATCGGATGCCAAGGAGATCCTCCGGAAGAAGCTGTGGACACACAATCCTCCTGGAACTCTGCGACCCTCGATCATGATTCTTTGCCGATCCAGGGTCAAGCAGAGGTCCGTTGCGATGATGAGGCCGCTGCTGTTGTTTGCAAGCAACTCTCATGTAACGGAAAGTCCACGGAGAAGTCCATGCCTTGATTGCAGACGCAGCCACTTGAGAAGCTCAAGCCGCAAGATTCCCAGGTGCCCCTTCCGAACCCATGCTCATGTCTGGGAATCGAGCTGCTGGAAAGAGCAAGGCAATCCTCAAGCAGATTGAGTACTACCTTTCCGACCAGAACTTGGCTCATGACAATTTCTTCCGCAATTTGCTGGCAGAGAATGACGGCTGGGTTGCCATCGCGCCTTACTTGCTCTCTTGCAACAAGATCAAAGCACTAGATACCAGTGTCCGGGAGATTGAAGACACGCTTCAGCAATCTGGTGAGTTGGAAGTGGACCGTGCTTCGGGTCGGATTCGTCGTAAGACGCCCTTTGACTTTCAGCGGCATAGGGACACCGGGCAAGACAAAGGAAAAGGAAAAGGAAAGGCCGAACGAGGCAAAGGGAAAGGCAGCGGACATGCCGAATCACGTGCTGCACCTGTCTATGATCGTACCGGACCATGCGGCTACTTCATTGCGGGCTATTGCCATCGTGGAAGCACCTGCAGCGTGCAACATTCGATCCCATATGCAGAGGCCATCAGGAATGAGTGGCTGCATCCGGATGACTCCGCCAAGAAGGAGGCCCTGCGGAAAGCAGCTGCAGAGCTGCTTGGAACCGATGTGAGTGCCGCTGCCTTGTTCCCGCGAGTCTTTTCTGAGAAGCTGCGCTGCAAGCCTGCTCAGACCCAGACAGATCTCTCTGACTTGGGATTCCAGTGGAGTCCGGATCCGGATCCTGGGACACTTGAAACCTGTGCATCTGCGCAAAAACCCGGGCGATGGGCAAGAAGGAAGGTATCCCTTCATGAAGCGGCCCCCACACCTCCCTTGTCCGCTTCGGGGGCGTCTCCTCAAGGCATTCGATACTTCCTTGTTTTTGATTTGGAGGGCAAGCACGAAATAATTGAATTTCCTGTCATGTTGATCGACGCCGTCGCTGGAACTGAAATCGGAAGGTTTCAACGGTTTGTACGCCCGACAAAACTGTTCGAAGGTTGTCCTGTCATAGACACGCCTGCAATTCCTTTCCCGGATGTTCTGGCAGAGTTCAACACCTGGCTATCAGAGAAGATCGGCCGACGGCTTCAAGACTTGGCGGGAACGGAAGACGTTGCTTTCGTGACGTGTGGTGATTGGGACTGCAAACACATCAGGACCCAGTGCGGCATTTGCGGAGTGCCGTTTCCGAGAGCTTTTGCGCAATGGATAAACATCAAGCGGACGTACTCGGAAACCTATGGCGGAGAGTTCCGAGGAATGAAGAGTATGCTTGCGAGGCTCCGTCTGCTTGACAGAGATGGCAATCCAAGGCACGGCTTTCATCATCTTGGCATGCATGACGTCGAGAACATCACACGGTGTTTGATCCATTTGCTTGACAGCGATGTCGTGCTTGAGATTAACGGCTGGCTTTAAGGCTGACCTTGAACGTGATTCTAGCACACCACTCACCACACTGCTCTATCCTGGCTGAGACGGCTCCAGCCACTCGCCGGACGGAGCCTCAAAGGATCAGGGCAGAGCACGGCTCTCCTTGATTTGCGCCTGTTGGTTCACAAGGACTGGCGCTGTACAGTGCATGCGCCGAGACAGGACGACCTTGTTGGACCAAAGTTGGCAGAACGGTTTCGGTTCGCCGAGTGCTTGTTTGCATGGGGTCGTGTGAGTTTCCACAGGGCACGTCTGGCACGAGTTGAATGGCCGAAGTCGCAGCAAAGTCTCGTTGTGGCGACATGCACTGGCGAAGCGTACTTGTGAGCAGCAGGCAGTGATGAGTCTACTTCGTGAGTTGCAAGAGGACGACACATGTCAAAAGCAAGTTGGCCTTGCCAAGAATGGAATGCGCAGGACCTGGCCACGGCCAGATCGCGGCCGGAGCCGCGGCCCAGCACAGCAACAATGGCAAGCCTCGCGCTCAGCATTGTCCGTCCACCTTGAATTTGTTCGATTGTCGAAGCCTTTCACTTGCATAAGCGTGTTGCCAGGCCAGCTGCCAATCGACCCACACCGACTGGAAGAGTTGGTAGCTGCCAACCTGAGCCAGTGGGCTCCACGGCAATGTACCGGCTTTCAACTACTTTCAACATGCGTGGCTGCTCTCCTTCGCACCGTTTTCTGCAGCTTGGCACGAGCGTTTCTGAGGTTTACCGCGCAGATGACGTGTCTGAACCTCTTCCGGAAATTCCTGGTATCTCGCTTTCTGCAGACTGTCTTCGGGAAGACTTGCACACCGGGAGCGTGAAGGTGGCACTTGTCACAGCAGAACTACCAGGAAGACACCGCACGCTCTTCGTGGTGTTCAAAGGAAGCTCATATTTGCTTGATTTCATCAACTGGAATTTGGAACATGACTACGAAGTCATTGGCGACGGAACACACTTCATGCACAAAGGCGCTGCTGGAATCATGCGCAACCTCTTTTTCCTCAAGGTTCAAAGGGCTTCGTCCTTTGCCAAACAACTGGATGCTGCTTACAACAGCGGGGTTCGGCATTTGGTGTTGACGGGCCATTCTTTGGGTGGAATGTATGCGATGTGCAGCATGTACTTCATCTGGCGTGAGATGCAGACGTTGGTTCCTGCCACCAAGCGGCACTTGGCACTTTGCCACGAAGCACAATGATAATGCTGCTACCTAGCACATGCGTCATATGGGTCCTTTGTTGCGTGCAGCCAAATCTAGTGACAATCTTCTAGACAGAAAAAGGTGGCATGTTCAATCGTGCTTCCGGCTCCCTGCTTTCTTCAGAGATAGCCCGTGAGCTTACTCGTCAGCCAATTTTAAGCCTTTGGAAACTCGGATCGGAACTCTCTGAGGAGCGGAGTAACCTCAGAGGCCCAGGCCGTGCTCTCCTCCGTGTGGCGCGCTGCGTGGCTTTCGGTGCGCCCATGCACCTAGGCATGGGAACAGCCCTGCGGTGTCGGGGCCATGAGAGGTATAGGAGTAGAAGTTGGTGCGGATCTTGGTCTCTTCGTCGAGACATCCAAGTCTGATCTCTTAGGTGCTTCGGTCAGGACAGCACGAACGAGCCCAGTGACGAGTCGCTCGGTCGACGTGCGGGTACTGACATACTTCAAGACAGTTTTTCTGACATCCGAGAAGCAAGTTCGTATGGTGAGGGCAAGAAGCGAACGGGACACAAAAGCAGCTTCACGTCTCAGGAAGTTTGCCAAGTTTGAGACCTTCCTCAAAGAGAAGGCGGTAAACTTCATCAATGCAGGTGCACACGGTAATGGTAATGACATACGTAGTTTGAAGGTCTGATGGGCAGATGTGTTTTGCTGCATGCGGGTTATGGCTAGACTGCGGATATGCTCGGCGCTCGATGCGTCACACCACGCTTTCAGCAAAGAAGAACATGGCAGGGGCTCCGGGATGCAATTTCGGGGCTGCTACCCAACCCCACCCTGGCATTCGAAGTGCGACCTTGTATTTGCCTGAGATCCTTGGATCAGGGGACCCGTGCCCACGGGCCTGGTCCGCTGTGGATCCACGGGCGGTTATCCGAGAGGCCGCTGAGGCGATGAAGGAGCAGCTCAAGGAGACATGCTCCTGACCATCTTAGCAGATCTATCTTGCCGCGAGCACTGTCAGCTAAGAGGAGCGAAGCTTGGTGAGCCGGCAAATCGCCACCCGCGTGATTCAGGCGCTCTCCAGCGCTCTGCAACTTGACATGCATTGAAACCTTGACTGCCTTGACGGTGACTTGGCCGGTCTCCCCTTTGCCTCATCCTGTGATTCGAGTCCACGCATGGATGGCCTAGGCTTTCCCGGCCCGACATGGACCGCCATATTGCCGGTTGCGCAGCGGGCTTCCTCCATCTCTCAAGCATTCGTCTGTTGAGCCGGGAGGACTGGAAGATACTGGAAGTCTACACGTTCGTGTTTGTGTCGTGTGGCTGTGGCTTTCTAGCTGGCTGACAATGATTACGCACCGCCCCCTATGGTTCATGTGAGGACCGGTCTTCTTTTCATTGGAAGCGGGACTTCCGTCTAAGCCGACATGGCTTCGCAGACCACGCCATGTCCGAGCACTTCTCTTGGTCTATAAATTAAGTCCTTCCCAGAGACATTCTGTTGTAGGTGTGTTGGCTTGTCTGTGCTTGTACATACAAGCTATAAGGTACTGCGAGTTGCTGTTCGATGCGTGCTATGCCGACCAGCCGACGTGCTCTCCGTCCGCAAACTGCTGCCCGCTGGGATAGACATCAGAAAGACAATGCCGACACAACATGCCTTGACATTCCCGGCGTCCGGCAAGGTCACATGTACGATGACGATGATGCCGGGACGAAGGTGCCACTGACGCGCATCCGACCCAGTTTCGTGGCCCGACTGCGGCGGTCCAACTCCGATTCTGGCATGCTGGAAGCTGATCCGGCAGAGTCCACAAACCCATCAGAGCCCACAGCGACTGCAAGCTCATCGTCGATTTCTCCTGCCTCGGGGCCGTCCCATGGCCGACCTGGTAGACGGTCCTGCAGACGAATAATTAGGACATGGAAGTGCGACGATGTGAGAGCAGGGAGGGAGGGAGGGAGGGAGGGAGGGAGGGGTCATGCAACGATGGGATGGTGATGCCTGCGCCTAGCGTGCATTTCTACCTGCCAGCGCAATCTGTCCTCGTCCAAAGATTATGCAGTTCATGTCACGTCGGCTGTTTCGGTTGTTTGTCTGCCCCAACAAGAGAGGCAGGCATGGACACCGTTCTCGTTCCCACACCTTCGTACCTTAGGCCGTAGGCTGTTGGTGAGATGCTGCCGGTTAAGCCGGCCGGTAAAGCATTCGGCATGCTACCCCTCGCCAGCCCTCGCCCTCTTCAGAGGAAGCGACAACACATCACGTTTGGGAGCACTACTGTATGTAATGCCGGTTGTTTGCCACAGATTTCGTAGCTCTCCGCTTCCTAAAAACGAGGCCATCGCTGCAAGAGCTGGTTGAGGCTTTGGAGCAGGGCCGGATGAACGCCCTGGAGGGTAAGTCCGTATGGGAGGCCTTGCTGAGCTACAAAGCCAAGGTGCCATGCTTCACCATATCAATCACTCGGTTAGCCAGGGTTTCCTTCATCTCAGGCGACGAGTCAGGGCCACTTCTCTCTCGGCTCGGCCTGGATTCGACTCGATGATCCGATCTCCCGGGAGACAGTGACCAAGGTGCGCGCTTCGGGAAACGTTGGCGTGCGCTACTAATAGACGTGCGTGCCAGGCCATTCACAAGTACCAGAACACCTGGCCAGAAACCTTGGAGGCCGCCAAGAACCACCAGACGCCCGAACACACAGCCACACAGCTGAACCCAAAGTTTCGCGAAAGTGGCAGGCCAAGGGCCGTTTGCAGATGGCACTCCGCGAAGCGCAGCTGCTGCTGCTGGCCTTGGATGCCTATAGCTCGCACAAGGCCAGGAACGCTTCACCGGGCCCCAGAGTGATTCGGGCCCGAGTGAAGACTCACTACAAGAGGTGCAAGCTGGCGAGAGCTCGGAGAAGGCGTGGTCCTGGCATTCTCGAAGGCCCTCTTCACGATCCTACGCCTGAGCCTCGGTACTCGTACTTCTTTTTCCCTCTTCGTACTGTTTTGCGGCGTGGAAGATGAGGGGAGCCTTGTCAGCCGATGCAGAGGCTTCCGAATCCAATGAAGGGACCACAAGCAGCTTTTGGAGGCCAGTACGTGGCAGACAGCCTTCGGCCTTGGGGAGATGAAGCGAATGAAGCGACTGATACTGTTATGCCGCAAGCCACTGTCAGTATGATAGGGGGCAGCTTTGGTACCACAGTTGTTATTCTAGGCCGATCTCAGATGGTAGCCTCCGAGTTACCGGTTGCCACAGACCATCAGCATCTTGACAGGAAGCCGTCGATGGGATCGTCCATGCTTGGCTTCAGACCCTGGAGAAGAAATGGGTAGGTTGCTGGAAAAAAAGGAATGCTGTTTCATCTGGAAAGTGCATCTGCAAACTGGGGCACCGACTGCGAACACTTTTCCGGTTGCTGCAATGCTGAGGCGTGTGTTGCCGGTACCCGGGCAGCTGAGTGAGAGTGCCGATAGTCAGAGACAGAAGCACCATCCAACGCCACTGACAAATCAAGGTCTTACTCCATCCATTGTGCACCGCATGGGCTTGTATACCCCCTTCTCCTCGTATGGGATGCCATGTTACTTCCGTTCCGGTGTGCGACCTTCACGACCCGCAGCCACCACATCCCATACTTCACATGGGCACAGCCTCGACATGCTGTGGACTGAGTGTGTAGCCAAATGCGCGGTTCGCAGTAGGCCAATGGGCCCTGAAGCTTGGCAGACTACATCCACTTCAAGTCTCAACGATTGACGTCAAGCATGCAGCTGTCCGGTCACCTCACGGATCAAACTGTGCATGAACCTCCAGCACTTGCAGCATGTCAGCCGGTGGTCCTGAGCAATGGAGTGCCAGCATCAGTCAGTTAGAAAGTTAGACCACTATATAAATCCGCCGCCTTTGGCTCCGTTCTGCCACGACATCGCCAGTTAAAGGATGTGGTTTTATTGCAACAGGCAATGCACGCATCTCTGTTTCCATGTTCTAGCAGCAAGGATAGACAAACGTAGTCAGTCACTGTAAGCTTTTCGCAAGCGGCCGGCTGCCATGCCGATCAATTGTCTTTGCTACCTACGTTTTTCTTGCGTAGTCAGCTTTCACCATGTTTTCAACACGCGGGGCATGCCAAGCCTTCGCCTCAGCTCTGAAAAACGCCTGGAAGGCTGGAAGCATCAGGCGCGTTCGGGGTCTCTTTGTCGCTCAGGCCGTCAAAGCGCCATGGTTTGCCCTTGCACACGGCTCAGCAGCAGCAGCAGCAAATCCTTGCCATCTCTGGCTGGCCATGCCCGCTATCAGGTACTTTTCTTTGCAATGTATTTTTGCGGTACGAGTCTCGTCTGCATTCCATCAGCTGTGGCACCCCAATGTCAGAATGCATTCGCCGTCCTTGCTTCGCTATAGTATTGAGCAATGCTCGGCAGTGAGCGGTGTCTGAATTAGGACGAGCTGCACCACCGATGGCAGCTGCGCTGCCGTGAGCTGCTAAGCGAGAGATGCCCTGACACACCGTGTCGAATTGCGAATGCTCGTGCGTCAAGTGTGGCCATGTCGGCTGCTCAGGCTTGCGCGGTGAGCAGCACGAGCTGCACAGGGGCGCCAAGCCCCAGACTTCTTCCGAACATGCCAAGTGCTTGAGTTACATCACAGTTTTACCATGGATCTACACAAATCAAGAGAAATGTCGGCAAACAGTTCGGAACGCAAGCTTTTCCGATGGGACACCTCTGAGACGTGCCCTGGCAGAGCAGGTGTTTTGTGATCCTGTGTGCGGAGCTCGGGCTGCATGACGCACTTGGTGGGGCTTACGCAACCAGAGAAACTATTTGTGCCATTCCCGTCTAGGACCAAAAACACTGCTGCAGCAACTGCGAAGGTTCAGCCGCTGCGACTGCCCAAGCGAGGCCAAGCCTCCGATCTGTGTGAAATTTAAGATTTTGCTCGAAGTCCTTTGCCGTTTGAATAAGTGCTTCTACCTTGCCCGCCGTGGTCATTCGACCCAAAGTGACGTCAGCGACCATTCCGGAGCCGATTCGGATCGAAAGTCTGCCCAGCGCACAGTGCACCATAAGCCACGACGTCGCCCATTCCACATTTTGCCATTTTGCCTGGCCAGGCTCTGCTTCGTGCAGATGGATCCTGCGAGGCACGGGCTCTTGAGTCTGAGATCGCTGCGCTCAGTCCGCAAGCGTACCTCGTTTGAGAGTGTTGTCGCTGAACTACAGACACTTCTGCAGCTTTGCGGTTTGGAGACCATCTTTCTGATCGGGCAGTGCACCTGCACTCCACGGCTGGAAACGTCCGAGGCGGTATTCAATGACAAATAGGTAAACAGGTCAAAAGAGAGGAAGCGACAGTGTATCGTTTTCATGTCCTGCATGAGGTCTTTTCTGCCGCAGCAGCAGAGGTCGCCCTTGCGCTCGTGCTTCTATCAGCTGCACACATGGATTGCAGCGGCACCGTTCCAATGGCTGTGAATCCGCCAAAACCTGTCAGCAACGACGCCAAAGTTGCGTCTTTCATGTCACACATGCTTGGAATGTCAACACATCGCCACTCGTCATGGAACTGAGGTGGCACAGTGGGCTTCAATTGGTTTTATCCGTTGCTTCCGGACGTCGTCTGTGGTCACGACATCGTTTGGTTGGCGATTTACTTTTCTCTGGAGCGAGCCGGGCAGATTAGAATGCCAGCTTCACCCTAGCAGCCCTAGCAAGTGCGCGGCAGGCAGCGTTTGCTCTTATGCACATGTGGCCATGCTTGCTCTGCCATGGAGAGACTCCGAAAAATCGTCCTGGCATCCTTGCAGGCAGGCTGCCCAGACAGACGTGCGGCACCGCTTCATATCTCGACCCTGAGCCGCAGGTCCTCCTGCACGTCCACTGTTGGACCATCCAGGGCCAGGCAGCGGCAAAGCAAAGCCTTTCTAAATGTAATCGTCAGCCCGTGAGTGTTGCGGCTGTCAGGAATGGGTCGTGCCAATCTCAGGAAACATGTTGATTGCAGCAGCCACGAGATTGCTGAGCCCGCTAAGCTTTATACGTTTCATAAGCTGCATAGAGCAGTCGAGCGAGAATCCACCGTCCCGGGCAGTGCAAACTCGCAGAACACGATGGAGACGCGTCACTCACAAGGATCCCGATATTAAGCTCATAGTCGCCACAAGCACTGCAACAAAGCTCTTTCGAACCGAGCGTGTGCCGCGCGCCTGCTGATCAGTACAGTAAGTCACAACCAGCAACCAGCTCGAGAGGGAAGACTTGACAGCTTATTGTCATCTTTGTACCCCCGTCCATATGAAGGACTGGCCACTCGCCAGTTGCATCCCTCAGAGTCTTTCCTTTGCCTCAGCTTTCACTCCAGCTTAAGCTTGGCAAGACTACCTCCTGGAGGCAGCAACTCCCTCTCTGCAATTACGGACTTGCTTCGTACGTGCCTGCGCCGGCAGTGTGGCGAGCCGTTTTGATGCGTTATTCGATTGCAAAACATGCCCTGTTGAAGAGGGTCGATGGCAGCATCGCGAAGTGTAGTTGCACCGAGCGGATGGCAACCATAGATCACAGGTGCTTTCTGGGCTTGACCTGATTCGCGCCATACGACAGCATCTGCACATCTGCTGGGTTGACGAGGAATGGAGGTTTGTTCTGACCGACGGTTTAAACTCACTCCACCTGCTAAAGGGACGGCATGTTGGCTGATGACCATATCATTCATCAATTTATCTGGCCGCTCGCAATTAAGACCTGGAACATGCAGTGCGCATGGGAAGGAACATGGAAGGAGCAAGAAGATCTTGGAGGGTTCTGAAACCACTCGGATGTGTCCCGTTTCGCAATGACCATCCGAGCTCTCGGTGCCGACTCCGGGGTCTTCCTTTTGGCGCCCTCAGCCCTCAGCCTTGCCATCCTGTGCAGCCCTTCCCATCCTTGATTCCTCACTTCGGGGGTACTCCTTTACCCCTAATTTTAAACGGGGGAGCCCCCCTCCCCCCAATAGATACTCGGAAAGTGTTTTTATTATTAGGGTGTGTTTTTATCTCTACTGCCACTTTTGAGGGGACGTGCTCTTGCTCCTGCTCTGGCTCTTGATCCCGCGCTGGCTTTTGCTCCTGCTTCTGCTGCGTCTCTGTCTCTTGCTCCTGCCCCTACTCTTGCAGTTGCTCCCGCATTTGCTCCTGCTCTCGCTCTTACTCCCGCTCGTGCTTTTGCTCTTGCTGATGCTCCGGCTTGTGCTCTTGCTCTTGCTCTTACTGTGCTCTAAGGGTATTTGGAGCCTGGAAACCCTCCCCCTGATTCAGAATAGGTTTTAAGGGGCAGGGATGATTTCGGGAGGATTGGGCCCAATGTGTTTTTGAAGCGATTATGCGTGTTCGGAAAATTATGCTCTGACTGAGGTCTCAACCGGGATCCCGGTGAGCTTAGAGGTGTCGGGAAGCAATCTAACTTCAAGCAGGAGGCTCGAAGTGCTGTTTTTTCTGAAGCTTCTTGGACGTGGTTGGTACTCGCAGCAGGCTTCGAATCCTAGCTCCCAATTCAAGCTGCGACGAAGCCGGTGGCACGATCCGCAGGATGTCTACTCATTTCAGACGTCTTAGGCGGCTTCGTGTCCACGCTAAGGAGCCTCTGGAGATTTGCCCTTCCTGGTAAATTGCACATCGGGCTGTACGCAGGCTTGCCATGCCATGTTCACTACAAGGGTGCCCTTGCACTCCTAAGGCACGCGTTCAAACCAGGCTAAGCCCAAGAAACGACTGAAAGAAGTGCTCACGTTGTGAAAGAATATTGTTTCGGCAAGGCGAGAGAGGACACGAGCCTGGCACTGCATACTTGCATCTTCGATGCAGCTCCCACCTCAGAGCCTGTGCAAACGAGACTGCTCCCCACGTGCGAGTGATTCAGGCTGCTGACAGGCGCTATAAGAGTGGGCTTCTGGGCGCTACTCGTATCACCTGAGCATGTATCCCTGGGAGCATGACGGGTTTCCATGATGCGACAGTTGTGGACAGTTGGGACAGTATGTGGCATGTACGAGACGAACCGGACAGCGCTTCCCTATGGCATTCGAGCATTCTTAGGCATGCATAAAATTCGTCTTCGGTTTGTCAGGCAGAAGCAACGGTTTCAGCAATGCATGAGTCGAGGCGAAGGTCGCGGCACTGCGCGTCCAAAGCGCTCACAAGGTGGAGGCCTGCCTGCGTCCTGCAACCTGCAGCCTGTTGCTTCTACCAGGGCGGCTGTTGGACCGGCCTTGGCAGCCCCAGGTGGAGTTCGATGTGGTTCCAGGCATTCGAGCCCACGACAGGACTCTTTGCACAGACTCTTTTCGCGTGTCCGAAGTAGCGCAAGTGGCGAGCATAAGCATATGTACATCAACCGGCCGCCTCCAGCCTGGCTCAATTTGAGACATTGATCGCTAGCGAAGACGATGGAGACATGCATGATCGCAGCCACGAAGTCTTTCAGCATCTCAGCAAGCACTGAACTCCCCATTTAGACGCGGTTTCATTGGCCCCGTACGATGTCAGCACCCTCGGCCAAGCGACTGGATGAGCTGTGCCAATTCTTCTCATTGGAGAAGGCAGAGCGAAGCGCACGTGCGATCGTTCGCAGGTAGGTTGCATCATTTCCACAGTACACAAATTGTTGTGAGAAGAAGTCCGGACATAGACGTAGGCCAAAGAGCGGCCAGCCACTGTGTGTGCGAATGGGGCTAGCATCTCATGCTCTCGTAGCTGGCTTTCGGGTGGGGCCCAGTCGAAGCCTTGAAGGCAAGGATGGCAGACTGAAGATATGATTGATGCAGTCTTTCAGCGCTTGGAGCTTGGAGGCACGAGCTGTCCTCGTCAGCGACGTGAAGCTGGACGATGTGCTGTGTTTGTCCTACTGGCGCATTTGTGACAAGTTCACGCTTTGTTGTCGCGATGGATCCATCCAACCCTGTACAGTGTCTGATTGGTACTGCAGTAGAAGGCCTATAAAGCCCTTCTGCCTAATTTATCGGGCTGAAACCTGGCTTGATATGCAACCTCTGAGACGTCAATGTACCCTGCAATGCGGGCTCGTCCTTGCTAAGTAGGAGGCAAAAAATTACGGGGTCGGCTAGGATCCGTGCGATTAAAGCCAGGTGGATTTTTCTGATGTACAACTTTGCGCGCCCTGCAAATCACAAAGTGGAAGTGGAGACTCGGCTAGCAGCTAGCAGTTGCGAGAACCTCTTAAAGCTGCTCCTGCCGAGCGCATGATTTTTTGTCAAAGGACGTCTACATGACTGGCATCCGTGATTCCGAAGCTGCCGCTTGCTTGGCGCAGCATGTCTTCGATGCGGCGGAGGCCGCGGTGAAGGAGCGTGGCGGCAGTGTGCTGGCACAACTTGGTGCACATGTGATGAAGTACCTCGTGTGATGCCGCGATGCCACTGTCACAACATCGGGCTGTATCGACGCTGAAATTCACCACACAGTGCTTGCAAGCTTTCGGTGTACGAAGATCCTTGAGGTTGTCCCATTGCGTTTCGGGTGCTGGCATCGAAGCGACCAGCCAAATCTGCGCCACGCCATGAGAAGGATACCTACAAACCATATCGAGACCCCTGGCTGCACAGTTGAAGCTTTCAATGGAGGCCAGCGCGTGGCAATCTCTAGCGACTCTTCCCGTACAGACAGGACTCGATTCAATGGCTCGAAATGCTCTGAATGAGGGTGCCAGTTGTACGTAATCTCGCAAGGACGGTTCTGCCGGCTTCCCTCAAGCCAGCGAGCGATCCTTAGCTTTCTGGGAAGACTTGCCGGAGGAGGCCGCACCATGCTTCGTGAAGTCAAGAAATGTCCCTGACCACTTGCGTTTGGCCACATCGGGTACTGGTCTTCGTGGTTCCTGTGCGAGTCTTGTGCTGTCGTCATGGCTGTTATCATTAAGACCTACTCGTACTGTATAATGTCCATGCGTAGAGACAGAATCCTAACTTGTCAGAACACTTTTCATTCCAGGATTGCCAGCGCCAGGGACGTTGCGTCTTGCTCAAAAAAAACTACCCAGCAATCAAGAGCAACATGAGCAATTCTGCGCTGGAATTCGTTGGGAATGGCAGAAGAGGCGAGAAGAGGTTGTCAAAAACGTCTAAGCCTTATGTATAGGATAGGAATACGAATCGACAAAACATGAATGGCATTTGACATCAGAAGGTCGTGTGGGCAGAACTGGCCGTGCATGCACCGAAACAAGTCTGGACAGGCACGAAAGGCCGACTTGGTCGGTGTGATTGCCCAGTTCTTCAACTTTGAGGTCCAGAACGACAGAACTCCGAACATGTTGGCACATGTTCCTGTCGCAGGTTGTGGCGGACACCACGAGTCTTTGCCAGCGCCTAGCCAACTCAAGAGAGCATCGCACCGTGACACAACTACAGCCTGTCAGGTGAAGACGTGCTGGATGTCATTGTGCCCAAACCTGGAGGCCTGCCTGTAGCATGAACGTAGAGCTTTGGCAGCTCGCAGGAAATTTCCCGACGCGTTAGCGCTGCATCTGTAATCAGGCACTTTCTCTTAACCGGAAAGATTGCAACAGGCATCCTCATCTTCCAGAGTGGCTTCAACACCCGCGTCCCGCTCCATGCAGAGGACATGGTTTGGGGCACTCTGTCCGAGAAGGTGCTGAGCTTCATGTCCCTGGCTTGCAGGGACTCCGCACTTAACTTTTACTGTCTTGGCTTCGGAGGTGGAGAGGGCCGGTGCCAAGATCGCCCTCATTAGCAATGGCTTCAGCTTTGACAAGGCACCTTGCTTGCAGCGGCTTCACTACTCCAGTAGTGCAGACAGACTGGCTTAACTAGTTTCGTGTTGGCCTGGAGCGATGCTGCGATGCTAGCATCTACGAACCACCAAGGGTCAGCTGAATCCCGCTAAGTGCATCTATGTGCTGGAGCCCGGGGCCGAAATCCGGCTGAGGCTTCTGGAAAGTCTGGCGTGATACCGCCGGATGGAGAGACTATGAGGAAGCTGGAAAGCTTAAATCCAACGCTGTGGACCCTTGGAGAGCACAGATGTTGTATGAATGTAGCTCAGCAGGTAATCCCGCATGACGATAAGCAGGTGTTGAATCAGTACTGTGAGAGTGGTAGTGCATGTGCTACTACCGCTATGACTACGACGACGACGACGACGACTACTACTACCACCACTGGTTGATGTTGCTGTTGCCGTTGCTGTTGCCTTTGCCGGTGCTGTTTTTGTGGTGGGGTGGGCGGGTGGGCGGGTGGGCATGTGGGCGGGCGGGCAGGCGGGCGGGCGGGTGGGTGGACATGTTGGGCACCTGTTCTCAAGACCCATGGATATCCTCGGATGCGTAGTGTTAGATAGAGTGTAAGTTACTTGAAGCTAATAGTCAGGATGGTTGCCGTACTTTAAGATAGCTTGCCTGAAGAAATATTCACCGATCAGCAGAAACAACGACATAACCTGGTTTCGGGATACGGGATTCATAGCGGGGTTTCTATAATGTGGCATGTCTGATGATGATAAGCAGTTTGGGCAGGTCGGTCCGGGTACCCGTATGGTGTGGAGCATGGTTGAGTACGAAGCAGATGCAGTCAAGGAGTCATTTGCGAGATGCGGGGCTCAAAGAGACGCTTCGCTTCTCCGTGGATCAGATGGCGAAGTGGCTGGCAAAGGCTCAATGATAAGCGGTTGAGCATTACATCTTCAGCCTCAACGCTGCTCCCCATGCGCAGGTCCCAATGACAGGCATGCCGGGACGGTAGCGGTATACTTTTCTTATGCAGCTAGCATAATCGCCCTACATGCAGGTCGAGTGTGCCACAATCATGTCAATGTGGGATGCAGCATGGCGATTTAATTGGGGAGCTGACGTCATGAATGGCAGGAGTCGACTATTCCAACTGCGATTTGAACGCCGGTCTGGCTGCAGTGCGGAGCAGACATGGCATTCCAGAGGTTCCAGATGTCAGTCGCTTAACGTGCTCGTGAAAACAACTTCGCCTCGCAACTTGCTTCAAAAGGGCCGCAATTCCCAGGTCGGCGACTTCCTGCAGGAGCAGTACTTGAAAGCACGGCAAGATGACACGAAGGTGCTACTTGAGTCGAAACCAGTCATTGCGGATGGAGACTTGAGAGATCTTGAGAGAGCTGCTGTTACAGCCAGCTTAACGCAGGTGAATCCGGTGCTCTCAGCCTGCCGCACCCCGGCGGTGACCAGATGCTACATACTGTAGCAATTGTTCGCAGCATTTCCCTCGAAGAGATCTTCTTGAGAGGCCAAACTCGGTTAAGTTAATGGTTGATGTCCTGGTAAAAGTTTCACAGAAGCCCTCAAGGCGAGCTGCACGCGTTGGCGAACACCTGCTGCGGTGCTGCAGCATCTGCCGCTTTTCTGAATCCAGCAACTTCCGCCCAGAGCCACTCGTCACATCTTCCGGGCAATGCCTGAGCCCTTCTGTGCAGCACATCATCATGGTAGTGCATCTTTCTTGACAAGCTCTCACTGGTCCACCTGCGGTCTGGAGCAGGTGGTTGCCCTGTTTTGCACCACAGGCATATCAATGCAGCTTGACCCTTGCATTGCAGTCTCCGGGCAGACAAGTTCAACGAAAACGATGCCATTTATCATGAACGACTCGTAGCACATGTTATGGAAGATGTTTTGACAAGGAGTGTGTGATGCAGTTGGTGCGGTGTCTTCAGTAGTAGGGGGTTCCTGTGCCATCCACCCGGCCGAAGAAACACTATTACGCGTCCACAGACGTGCTGCCATGGTTGGCATGCATGAATCCGGAACATGAGATCCCAGCAATGGCAGGGCAGTGCCTTCAGGCGTTGCATGTCAATCCTGGGAGCATGGCTCGGCTGTAGAACCGTGTGTGGCGAGTTCATCGAGGATTCCTACGAAAGCTCTGTAACAGAGTCGCTTAGTGTTCTTGTGGGTGGAGCGCATCGTCAACCGGATCAACAACCACTTGTCCAGGCCCGGGTGTCCAAAGCTATCTTCCAAGACTTGCTTTCTTTCGACTTCAAGGCCGTTGCGAGGCACTGGCGAAGTGAAGCCGGTGACCTGGAGAAGTCCGTAAAGATCTTCGTCCATCCTGTGCCCAAATGTGCTGGGGAGGAGCTCCTGGAATTCTTCATTTCGCGGGGTCATGGCAGCGGCTTCGGTTGGACTCGTGCAGTCCAGCTACATGCTGTGCACATAAAAGCCGTCCATAATGCCATCATGGGCTCGCCGGCACGCGTGGAAGATCCGGAAGACGCAACTGTCTTTTACATCCCAGCTTTCCCTAGCTTACTTGTCGAACGGTATATCGATGCTGACGAGGGGAAAGTGGATGTGCTGAACTGTATGTCAGCTTCGTGGGCTATGCTTCGGGAGGAGTTCTTTCTTCGGAATGCCGGCTACGACCATTTCATTTCAGCTGGCACTTGTCACCCCTATTCAATTTGCAGTGCGCTCGAGTGCGATGTGACCAATTTTCACCCATTTGCGGTGAATGTGTTTGCTCTGGTTGGCGGGGTGCGGGAGATGGTTCACCCGGACTTCATTTTCACGCCCGGGAAAGGCTTTCAGAGACTGCGCACAATCATCGTCCCATTCCCCGTGACGCTGGATTGCGCGAGGCTCCTTCAGCTATCAAGCCCTGAGAGGGTCCGATCGATTGATGTGACCTTTGTTGGCACAGACAACTCGCGGGTGCGACGCATCTTCAAAGAGCTCATGGAAGATTCAAGTTTGCCTTACGGCAGCAACCCCCGCCTTCACATAGAAGTTCTCCCGGATGATGACATCGGAGAGGGCGCACGCAAGCTTGCTTTGGGGTCTGAGGGAACCGGCGGAGACAAATCCATGGATGACCTTTACTCCAATTCTCAGTTCTGCTTAATTTTGCCCGGGCATGTTTACGATCTGGGTCGCCGAGCGTACGACGCAATGGCCAGGGCATGTATTCTGGTCATAGTTGCTTTAGAGCCGATGTCCGTCGCCGTACCCTTTGCTTGGCAGATGCCTTGGGATGAATTTGCCATTTTTACTTCAATAAGAAGTCTGCAGGATGCTGCGAAGGTATTGGACACTCTGAGCAAAGCGGCAGATGAGGAATCTGGTAGAGAGAGGATCGCGGCGCGTCGACAGGCCATGTTGAAGTATCTTCCAAGACTATTCTTGCCGCCGCTCAAGAACTGCATGCCGGGAATGCCTACTGCTATGGATGGTATACTGCGAGAGATAGCAGTGCGACAAGCGGCTTGGGCATCCATGTCGACAGCCAGGTCAAGCACACGGTCCACTGCCGGCCAGTTGACAGTGTGAACACACTGCATTCGGGAATCTGTTGCAGAAAGGACCTCATGAGCATGTGATTCGCCCTTCGGACGTCCAGGCATTCTGCGTTGTCCTCTGCTCATTCGCCATTTCTTTGCTTTCGGGTAGCTTATTGCACGAAAGGGGATCTTTGATACCAGCAAGTGCGGGCACAGACTGCGACGATGAGTGGCTAAGGACTACTTGGGCAGGGCAGTTTCCAACCTTGCATCTTGGCCATTTGTTGGATTGAATGGCTGCTTCGAGGGATCTCCAGAACCCACCCCTTTTTTCCTGGTCAATGTTTTGCACATGAGGAGAAGTTCGGCAAAAGCTTGGAATGCACTGATGGGCAGCACTTCGCCGCATTGCTTCAATCGGAGGCTTGCCGGTCATGGCATGCTGGGTGGGCTCTGCTGTAAGTACCAGGGAACTTCTCGTAGTCATTCTGCTTACTTCTTGCTCAAGCAGACCGCACAGTGCGTGTCAGTCAACAGTGGGGCACCCTAAGAGCAGGGCACTGGCTTGCAGGCTCAAGTTGACGTCGCAACCCCCATCTTGAGCTGGGCTGTGCTGTTGAGGCTGCCGTGTTGGAGCCCTGCGAATGGGCTCGCAAGGAGGAGATGCTGCAGCCAAGCTTCCTTGTCACTTGGACGTGAATCGTGCACTTGTGACACCTACAGAGCTGAAAGAAACAAGGCATCTCCGGCTGAAGGGCAGGTAATGCCTCTCTGCTGCACCCAGCGCAGAAGATTCAGCTCCGCAAAAGGCTGTTGTGCCTCGACGGGGGCCTGACAGGTCGTCTTCTGCAGCCATGCGCCACCCAAGAATGCAAGCTTGAGCAGATGCTGCCCGATTGCTGCCTGATTCCCAGGTGGGCAGCACGCAACATCAACGTTTCGCAAAGCCTGGCATGGATGGAGCTTCAGACCACTATTGAGAGCTGGACTGTGTCAACATGACACTTCTGATAGCCTCGGTGCCCAAGAACACACATAATTAGTTGCCGCTCCAAAGCCCATCATAGCTTTGAGTGATTCTGCTATACACCTGGGACTCTGCTGATGTTGCTGTCATGTCTTGCGGCGTTTCTTTGTGGCGCGCGTGCGAGGTGGTCCGTGCCTTGTCTCTGTCTCTGAGGGTGGGCGTGGCATGCGTGCATGCTCTTGTTCATGCCACATTTTATCGCCGATTGCTGCCGATTACCAATCTTCAGAGGTTGAAAAAGCCCCAAATGCATGCAGCAGAAGACTCTGCGGCAAGATATTAGGATTATGGTATAGTAGTATACACAAGACCATGTGGGAGTTTCAGAAAAATAGGGGTACCTTATTATGGGGGTCCTTATAATGAGGATCCTACTATTTAGGGTACTATATTAGGGTCCCCTATTTTCGGAAACCCTCATGTGAACATACGTCGTCCAAACGCGCGGTGGCATCCGTTTTTGTTGGAAAATCTGCTTTCAGAGAGGGAGTCAGAGAGCCCATCAGGACGCACTTGTAACCTGCCCAGGAAAATGGCTTGTGGATCGGCGACATCAAGTGACGCTTTTCTCTGCAGCCCGGAGAAAGAAACCCTGCAAATTCTTGGGACCGGGGTACTGCATGTTGCACTTCGTGTCACGCTACTTAGTAATCATGCACATGCTCTGCTGATGACTCGGGATTATGCCCTAGTGCACCGGTCTGAGTGATATGTAGATGGCTGGGTCGTGTTGTGCCGACGGTGTGGTTTCCCGGACAGGATCATTTTGGGCAGCGAGGTGCAGTGCCGAGCAGACTGCGCCGAAGAGCACATCACCAGCTTGAGGCCGCGGATTCTAAGAATGGCACAGCTTCCCGTCCTACACTCCATGTGACAGGGGTCTGGCCGCGGGAGGCCACGAAGTTGCTGCAACCCCAAACCCAAGGCCCGTGAGGGAAAATGCCCAAGAATCAGATGCTTGAGAGCTTCCTTTTGCACAGGAGGTTTGTACTGCAGACCAATCTGCCGACAGTTGGAGGACGTTTTGGGAACCATGGCAAATGAGCAGTGCTGGGTTGATTGGCTTGAGTGGTAAAGTACGCATCGATACGCAATCAATCTTGAGACTCCCAACAGCAAACGCCCCCAACTGTCAAGGAAGTTGCGTTTTCGGGTGTTACGCTCTCGCGCTGCTCGACTGCTTGGCTCCAGGGAAGGACGTGATGTGTTCAGGTCCTAGGCATCATGGTGGCCATGGTGCGCTGCCGCATTCCTCGAGCACTCCGGGATTGAGCTCTAGGCCAACATCACAACTGGCATCGAGGACACTTCCTGGAGCTTTGCGGCGTTGCCCAGGATCTTGGGGCAGCCTACATTTGACTCCTTCCCAAGAAACTTTACCCAGAGATGCTGCGCGAGCTTTGCGCATGGACTTGAAACGTCCCCACACTGCCCACACAACTCAGCTGACTCAGCTGGCTAGCAGATCCAGCACAAGCTCAAAGCAGCACAGTGCCCAGAGCAAGCTTGAGTCTGGAAAGTCTGCGGGAGGTGGGAGCATTTGTGAACTGATGGCAAAGTGCCTGGCGCCCGGACCTCAAACTGGCCAACACCACGGAGTGTTGCAGAAGGTGTCCTTTTTTCAAGAAAAAATCGTGATAACTCCCGGGCCAGTGGCTGACGAAATACAGGCGACCACCTTGGACATTGCTCGAATAGGTCACGCTGAGCTGGACTGCAGAGCTTGTTTGCTGAAGCTCCGTATGGTCTCAGGAAGCCAAGGGAAAGCTCAAGCCGGCTACGTGCAAATCGAGCTGGAGCAGCCGGAGTTCGACACGCTGCGTACCCTTGTTTGGCCGATGCTTCTGCGCTCCGTGTTTCAAAGGGCTGGACCTGGAGCAAAGCTCAATGATCCTCCAAGAGGACCGTCCCTAGTTTGGTCTCACGCTTAAAGAGTGAGGCCATTGACAGATCGTGTAGAGAGGTGCTAGTAGGTAGAAATTTAACCCTTAGTTTGACCAGCATGAAAGCCCGAGATGCGGAGCGATGAAATGTGGCACAATATTGAGACACTCTGCAGTGCAAGCAGGCATGATGGCAGCCCGGCTGACAGGTTGCATTGGTGCGCGTAAGTGCTGTACAGCCGCACATGGCTTCGTTCATATTCGGCCGCCGTTGCGAAAGCTGCCGCCTCCAGTCGCTTCGCTTCCGGGGAACAGGTGCTCTTGTTGTTGAGAGTTCTCATGACAGCACCTCGCAGGACAGCTTCCGAGCTTCGTTGTCTCCGCAGGGTCTTGGGCACCTTGGCAGCCTTGGCATCATCTTGATAGGACGGCAGACCGGACCGGAAGTTGCGCGCTGGGGCTGCCTTTCAGAAGTGCTTCTGCCACTCATTCTCCCCAGGCGAAAGAACTAGAAGCATGAGCGAGATGGAAAATGCCACAGGATTGCACGAACCGTGCTTCGACGCAGAAGCTCTGGTCCAGCACGGCCGCGGCAAGATCCTCAGTCAACGAGAATTTGCGGGTGGATTCAGACAAATGTCGCGCGCCCTCGCACCTCGAAGGCCGGGCTGCGAGTTTGTGCTCAGCCTGAAGACGGAGTCGGAGGTTGGTATGGGCTTCGCTTCGGACTTGGTGCGGTGGGAGCCTCTTTGAGTCAGGCACGAGCCATGAGATTGGAACGCTGTCCTTCGTCAACGCAGCAGAGATGCCAGTCAGCACCTGAGAGGTTGACACTATTTCACATATTACTTGCCCTCAAGGATGTACGGACAACAGCATGTCTAAGCTCACCACAATCACAGATTTCGATTCTGCCTGTTGTGGCGTCAGGGTTGCTTCTGCTGGTGGTTTTGAGCGAAGTTTCTGGTATCATGCAGGACTAGTTGATGTCTGGTGGTGTTGAAAATGTTACAGGTTCCCTTTTGATGCCGTTGTTTTCTACCCCAGATTAGCAGCAATCCTGTGCAGAGGTGGCTTGGCTTCATCCCACAGCCACGGCCGTCGGTGCGCCTGCTCCAGTGGCAGCGCCTCGGTGTGCAGGATGAATCAACCTGCTCTGCTCAAGTTTCGAACGCAGCACGAGGTGTCGTTCATGGTTGGCTTGGAGCAGCCGCTGACTTGGATACGCATGTGGATGGGGTGGGGAATGGTCGGTGTCAGCTTGTCCCTGACGAATTTGTGCTGGCTCAGTGAAGCTGAGTTGCCAGGTCGGCAATAGATGCGATGGGCGGCATGAGGTGTGCATGCGTGTATCGGTTTCGTGAGCCAGGAGGTCTTTGAACATTCTTCTGATGCACGGTTCGAGCTGTCTTTGCTCACGCAGTGCTGTTGCTTGCCACGGCTCACAGGCTCGTTCTGCATTTTGCCACTGGTCAGCTACAGCCACTTCAAGTTGATGGCGCTTTGGTGCTGCCAAACACGAACCCTGTCCGCACAAAGGAACATCAGCTCGAACCCCAGACCCTCATGGCCCTAATGCCTTACTCGCGCCTCGGGACAAGGACCAACACCGAGCTTGAGCAGAGCCAAGCAACCTGCGGAAGGCCGCAGCTTCCGGGAGAGGGGCGACATCGATCGACTAAGTCCGTTTGCACATACATGGACAGTCTCACATCTACACTCGTCTACATGCCTTAACCGGCCTGTCTCTATCTACCTATCTGTGTATCTGTCTATCTATCCGACCCGTCAATCAATCTACATACCTACCTAGGTGCCGATCTGCGCATCTGCCTACCTCTATCTATTCTACTCCGTTTAACCTGTCTAATCAATCGAGTCTGTCTCATCAATCTGATCTAATTATCTAGCTAGCTAGCTAGCGAACTAGCTATTTATCTCTCTCTCTCTCTCTCCCTCCCTCTGTCTCTGTCCATGTAAGGATCTGTCTCTCTGTCTACCTAGCTAATTTTCTCTCCACCACCGCGCAAGTTCCGTTCAGGCTAGGCACAGTAAGGTCCGGGAACCTTGGACCTTCTGAGGCCTCCCTCTCGCCCTCTCGCTCTCTCGCTCTCTCTCGCTCTCTCTCTCTCTCTCTCTCTCTGTGCGTGCATGTGTGTGTGTGTGTGTTTGTGTGTGTGTGTGTGTCTGTGTCCGGGTGTATGCATGCATGACTGCATGTATGAATGTACATATACTGGGCATAGTAGGTGGACATACTTGTACAGGATGATATGCCTATGTAGGAGTAGTACAGCCGATAACACTCGCAGGTAGACTTACGCAGTTCTGTGTACATGACACAGATGCCGCTGCCTGTGGTTGTTTATACACGGGTCCATGCATCGCCTGTCCAAGGTTGATCAAAGAGCTCTGGGCCAACGACAGCCACTTTCCAATGCCGAGGTGCCTAAGCCCCCCTGCACTAGAACTATAGGGTGGTGGTGCGCTGCAGGAGGCTGTAAGCGCTCAATGCTCGATGTGTGACTTTCTCGGGCGAGGCTTTTGCAGAGGCTTTATGTTCACGTCAACAAGACTGAAGACTGCCTCATCCGTGTATCTTGAACAACGAATTCCTCTCGGATTGCTGACATACACTTCTGGATTTCGAGGTGCTACTTCTTATGCTTGAACCACAGCACTTCACGATTGTCTTCCATGCATCAGTTGGATCGTGTCATTACTTTCATACACTAGCCGGCGCATTCATTGGGGGTTTCAAAGTACAGGTGTAGCTTTTCGGTTTATCTGGCAAGCGTGAACCTCCTCGGTGTCTAAGTGTTGCGCAACTTCAACCTGTGTGACCACGCCATCTTGTGGCAGGGGCTGTAGCTACCGGATGGCAGGAGAATCTCGGCATTCAGAATGGTAGGATCCTGCATAACTAAAGCCTCCGAATAGGCGGTACCCGAAAGCCCAAAGCCTAAACCCTAGCCATGGGCCATGGCGACTCGTGGGTTTTGCCCCGCAGCTAAGGAAGAAGGAGAGCTGCAACTGTCCGGCTCTCGGCTTTCCTTCTCTCGACACGGGCACAGAACCATGTTGTCCAGGTCTTTCGGTTCGGGAAATGATCTTCGCCCCGGAGTTGCGTATCAGATCATTTTTTTGGCACCTCGGCTTAACACTGAATCGGAGAGCACCGTGCGTCGTGACACCGACTAGCAGCTAGCATGCTTCCACGACGGAAGTTTGTGTATGTGTATAGAGGCTATCCTGAAGCTCGGCGCGACGACTGCCAATTCTGGTTTGGAACTTCGGTGCGATGCTTTGCAACTTGCATTTCTGGCAAACCCCGCTGACGAGCATGAACGAGGCTCATGGGTAGTGATGACAACTTCGTCCATGAGCTTGGCAAGCCAAAACTGAATCGGCTGAACACCTAGAGTGTCTCGAGATGGAGATGCAGGGTCGAGCGTGCAAGGAGTTGCAATGTAGGGGCGGGGCGAAATGAGGCCGTTGACAGCTGGTGCGGAGTTCCCCGATCCCCGCCTTGCAGCCGAGGCAGGATGTGGCGCTGTGATTTTCAACACAAGGTTAGAAGAGCGCTCGTGGTACAGCTGCAACGAAAAACACTCAAGCAGGTCGTGGGTGGGTCCAATGGACTGGCTGAGCTTTCGGAGGCGGGTAGCTTAAGCAGGTCAAGATCTCTCAAAGCTCTCCTCTTTGCAAACTGCCAGAAGGACCAGGGGCCAAGCTTCGACTTGCGCATCTCTCCCGATGCCCCACTGCACAACATGTAGATCTTAAGCATGTCCGTGGAAGAATACCTGGATCTTTCAATTTCAGAGTGAACTAAGGAAGTCGGGGAACCCATCCCGAGTGGCTCCCTACTGCGGGTGTTCTTGAGCCCCTGCGCTGCACATTGCACCACGTTACTAGTTCTAATGCTGAAGGTTGCAGCCCCACTGACCGGAAAGGTCCTTTGACGGCATGGGCGAGCTGGAGCTCAAGCTGTTCTGCAACTTCCGAGCTGTGGGACGTCAACGCCACCCATCGTGCTGATCTCCCTTGCGAGGCCCTGTTGTCGGGGTCTGGGGGCTCGGGGCGCCTTGGAGTAGAGTTGCAAGGGGCTGCTTGTCAGTATCTGATATTCTTGCGATCCCTGAAGGAGGCTGCATTGCTCGGCTCCTTTGTTTGTTTTTTTCTCTACTTCCTTTGGTGGCCAGTAGGCGCTACACAACTGTCACGTCCCTGCAGCGCAACATTGCCTAGCTGGGTGCGCGGCAAATAAAACTAGCCCTGGCCCGCTGCCAGGTGTCATCCGTTGTGGCTCCCCTGGCCTTCAGCAACTTGTTGCACATAGCTCTCCCGAACGTTTCAATGGCAGCAGGGGTGAGGCAGGCTAGCAACATCATGCAAGCAACTTGCTGTGGCATGCCAGAGCTGCCTCTTCTTTGCAGCTGCGGAGGCTTGAGATTCACGTCGGAGGGTTGGCGAAGCCTTCAGGCATCTTTTCGAGAAGCCAGGAGTTGCAGCGTGTCGACAATCTGAACAGGAGGCTTCTTTCCCGAGCAGCTGGCCGCAGAGCTCCTCCGGCCAGATGCTACCAAGCCCCACTACGCCCTCCCCTTGGGAGGATCATCAAAAAGTCGGGCTGAAGGCTGAACATCTCTTTCTAGCAGATTTGAACCCCTATACTCAGGTCCGAGCTTCTGGAAGTCTCTGGGCCTGGCCGCTGGGCCAAACAAAGAGAGAGAGACGAGAGAAATACACCTCGCCGCGAACTGTCAACATTCCGAGAGATGCGTCAGAGTCAGTCTATGTTTTTGTTGTAGAGGCTACCACGCAACTCCAGCATTGCGGGCATTGTCTCTTGCACCGTGTGTGGAAACATGGCTCCTTTCAGCTCCATGGCTACAGTTTGGGCAGCCACGCGATGTGCAACTGTGAGTCGATGTATTTGTTTCCCAATTTTGCAATGGGTGAATGGGCGCATCGTTTCGTGGATTTGCACCTTGGCCTTAGGACGGACGTTGCATGTTCCCAGTCCAGCCTTTCACGCAGTAAATGCCAATCACGAGGAAGCGAGACGAACAATCTTCTCGTCCGTTTTGCCCTGGCTGCAACGCTGCGCTCCGTCGTGGATGATGATGACTCCTCAGGTCACTGTGACAAAGCTCTGGTTTGCTTGATGTAAGCATCGTATGGGCATACGAGGGTGGCAGAGTACATGTTGAATTTCCAGTATCCACCTTTCGCTGACTTTGAATACGCTAAGAGGCAGTAGCCTCGGCCATCAAGTCAGGTGAGGCAAGCTTGTCTTTGACGGCCCCGGACGGATACATCTTGAAACAGGCCGACCCGTCAGGAGCCCGGAAGATGCCGCGGGACTTTTCTCTGCACCTCAAGACGTTCTGCAGCCGTTTCCAGTCAAAAGCAAAGTTGCTCTCTTCAGAACTCCGCATTCCCTCTTTGAGTCCCTATTCAGGATGTCATCGCTCGCAGCTCGGGGCGTCTCGTGTCTCTGCAGAAAGCGCTCTCGTAGTCCTCCAGCGAGTCGTGCTTGAGGTTCATGCAGCGAGAGATGGAGCTCCAGATAGCGGATGAGGGGCTCGCCGGCAATGAGCCCGCGAGCCCCGATCACAATCCCAAGAAGCACGCTGAGGTGTGGGAATATGCTCCAAATTGGGGTTGTGACAGCTGCCTGCTGCGAGGCGTGTCACGCTTCGTCGACACCTTTGTCGCAAGCCCTGGGCTTGGCCTAGATTCTGTAGTGCATGTGATGCCTTCTATAGCTGGTACCGGTCCATGCCCAGGCGAGCACTGCTCCGTGTTCCCCTAAGTCTTTGAGACTCTGCATGTCAGCACGGACCAGAGAAGAGACATCTGCTGCCGAGAACGACGCCCAACATGCAGTTTCGCCTTCCAAGCCTCAACCTGGATGGAGTGGCCTGGCTGCAGGCAACCGATGTTTCGTCGCATTTGGGGCCGTTGGAAAGCCTTCGCTTAGTTTGGTGCCGAAAGCTGCACGAGCAGGGCAAAACTTGTCCACCAAAGTCTCAGACCGTTTTGACAATAGGCCGCAGTGCCCCCATGTCTTTGCGCCCCTGCTTGATCTAAGTTTCATGACGAGCACTTCCCGCTGCTGACGAGGTCGGGCTGAGAGGCGTACAAGCCCGAGTTGTGTTACTGACTTGATTAGTGGCAAGGCAACTGTCAATACCGGAAGACGAAGGACTGCTGAGCGAGATGCCGCTACGAAGCGCAAGCCGGGCTTGTCACTATTCAGGAGCAACCTTTGAAGCACCCGACATGTTCCAGGCGGGGGAAAGGGGACATAGCATTGCCATAATTTGTTCTCTCACTTGCACTTTGAGCTAAAGCGGATGAACACCTGGTGGTGTCCTGTCATTGTCCAGCAACCTTGCAGCAGGATATCAGCGAGCTTTACATGCAAAAATACGGCAAGTATTCCGAGGCTGGAAGGGCAGACAGACGTGACGACCGTTCTTCAACAGTTGCTCCATTCATGCAACGCAGGAGGACTCGGCCTACCGTGATGATGACGGTGCTCCAGGCACAAACCTTTGGCTGCGTGTCCCCAGTTAGCAAGACCTGTGTTGATTTCTGTTGTATCCTGGTCCTCCTTCCTGATGTGAGGTGGCGCCACCACGCGGCCACGTTCGTCCCAGGAGTCTGAATTCGGTCCTCGGGGCTGGGGCAAAAAAGATTAGGTATGGTTGCCTTCAGTTCACGACCTGTTCAGAACTGGATTTGCTGGATCAAGGAGTCACTGCAGTCCCTGCTGGCTGAAGTCAAGGAGCCTTCCCGTCACACCTGCTACGTTGTGCATGTAAGCCTGAACTGAAAGGATCTGTACGAGCAAAAGTATGGCACCACTTTCGACCAGTCGCAAGCAACCGAGGACTGGGACTGCACAGCCGGATGGCCGGTAGCAAGCGCTTTGTCAGAGCCCATGATAAATAATAGGAGCTCTATGTCACGCAGGCCTCATCGGCATGTTCGCGCGCACCCACGTTGTGCCACCCTTCACAGTATACAGTAGAGGTCTCCGATTCGCGCGTGCTGACATCGGGATGGGGCAAGTGGTACTTCAAAGCTTCTGCACACATCCATTAGTCCAGTTGCAGACATGCCGCACATGCTGAGCCCATGCTGTCGAAAAGAGCGAGCTTTAGGTCGGTTCGTATGTATGTAGGCGCCTTGGTACGTATGTGTTTATGTGTATACGCGCGCATGCACTGTACGGCTATACGGGCGTGCGTGTGCACGCGTGTGTGTGTGTGTGTGTTTGTTTGTTTGTTTGTTTGTTTGTTTGTTTGTTTGTTTGTTTGTTTGTTTGTTTGTTTGTTTGTTTGTGTGTGTGTGTTTGCGTTTCTGCGTGTGAGTTTGTATGTGTGTATGCATGCGCATCTGCCTGTATGTAATTAGCAGTGTATGATAATGCATGTGTGTGTACGTATACTGTAGTAAAGTATGCACGTATGCCGCCAATAGCACGCAGCAGCAAGGGCAGAAAGCTTGTTGAAGACCCTTTCCTCATCGCTTTGTGCAGGTACTAGTAGAAAGTTGTAGTTGATCTAGCAAAAGACGAACATCCATGCATGGGCAAAGCTGGCAGGAGGAAGAAGCGGAATCACATGGGCCTGTTTGGAGAGTTATCAATGGAACTGGCGTTCCAACGGACTGTCGTGTTGTCAGGCTGGAGCAAAAGCTGACAGAAGTCAAGAAGCTGTACGAGCTCAAGTACGGTGTGGAGATTGATGCTGATGATGCCAATGTTGAGTACGATGCGGATGGTACCCCATGGGTGGAGACA